CACACACACACACACACACACACACACACACACACACACACACACACAGCTCTGGCCTCAGAGATAAGATCAAAACTCTGCATTTTGCATTTTTGTTTTAAAGCTGCAGTGATACGAAACAAACAGAGATTAAACCTTGGATTAAACTCATTACAAGCAAACTAAACTGTAGTTTGTGTTTGTTATGGTTTCAGGAACTGTTCAGATAAACCCAGAAATACTAAAAAGTATTAGAACAAAACCAGAAACTCAAACTTTATAAAACAAACAATAGAGAGAGAAAACCAAAACACAAAAATCCTCTCAGTATCATTTTACTGTATTGTGCTTAAAATGAAACATCTGTTGTTGTTGTATTTCTAGTTTGATTTATTATTATTATTAAAAATAATAATAATAATAACAGTTTGCTATTTCTAAATAAATGTCTGTGTTTTAACTGTAGTTGTGCTTTTGATGAGTCTCTGTCTACGGTTAGTTTTTGCCCYTTTGTTCAGGACAGACAGGGTTTGAAGGTTTTATTTACTTGTATTTTCATGTTTTTGGCACCTGACAGTAACACAAAGAGACCACTGTGTTGACTAATTAAGCCATAACAATCAACATTCCACACACACTAATTTAGTCCCTAAAAMTTTAACTTTAAACACAATAGGACATTAAACAAGTTATCTTGTAAATAATTAGAACTAACTACATAACATAGGTGTAACTACGTGGTTTTTTGGGGTTTTACAGACAGGGCGGAGTGACAGATACTAGCTAACCTGACGTTAGCTCCAAGTGTTTCAGGCATTGGTCAAAGTGATTCCCGGAGCTTTTCGARGTATTTTCAGCCTACTGTTTACATGAACCGTGTGCCTTAAGTTGGTTAAAAAGTCCGTTTCTTGACCGAGCTTTAACTTTTGACTTGCTGCTATCAGGCTAAAGGTTAGCAGCTAACTGCGGCACCTGTTGAAAAACAAAGCAGCTTCAGACGCACTCACCTCCGAGCTCGATCCCGTTCAGGAACTCCCTTTTTATCAGCTARATCCAGCGTGGAAACTTCAAATTAAAAATCTAATTTAATCCAAAGCCGTTAGTTTTGTTTTRAGTCTACTAACCAGTTTCACTCCAAAACACTTGTTGCTCGTTCATCGGCAGCAGAGCYATGAATTCTTTCCTCCTCCTCCTCGTCGTCTGTCTGTCACTGCCAAAGCAGGGTGGGGGAGGAGCCATTGTGCCAACAAGATTAAACAAAGCCGCTGATTGGCTTCACAGACYAAAGGAATGCCGTCTCAGCCAATCAAACGCGTTGCTACAAGCATTGAAGACACCCAAAAATTGTGGAAATGTGTTGCGTTCATGGCATCCGGAAATTTGAATGATTTCCTGTTTAGTAAAATTAATRGTCACATAAAATAAATTTAACACATATAATGAAATTTATAGAGGTGTGGCACAAGATCTAACACTGATCGTAAATTATATATTTCCAATTAAATTACCAGTAAAATGCATACATACCATTTTTTATGTTTATCCATTACCAAATGGTCCATTTAATAAAACCAAACATAATCTACATTTGATTAACATTTAAAGTCAGCCCAATTCAATGTGGCTAACAGTTTTATTGTAGGTGATTTTGATAAATGCAGTGCAGAAGAAACTCATCAGAACCACAGTTACAGAATATTCAGGATTATCTTTAATTCATCTTCAGTTTCAATATTATTACAGAAAAAAACATCCTCTTCATTATATTTATACAGTAGTAGTAGAATGCTGTGTCATTGCTTCATTACAAGTGCTGGTCATAGTTTGTAGTGTGTGCAGTGTGACACTGAGTTCAGTCCAGTGTTACGAATCACTCAGTACAAAGGCAGTTTCACATTAACCTGCTTCTTCTTCTTCTTCTTCTTCTGACTCGAATGGATCTATCCGGGTTTGATCGGTCCTCTTTGGGCAGGTGCCAGGACCTGCTCCGATGCTGCGTTCGCGTCAGAATGGAATTTTTATACACATGAGCTGCCCAAAGTAGGAAAACTAAAGCAAACAATGTGTCAATGTTTTCATTTAATTTAAATGTTTTTTTTCACAGATTTAATGAGAGTTTTTAAAATGTTGCAAAAAAAATAAAAATAAAATCCTGGTGTAACACGAACGCAGCAGCGAGCGGCTGATTTCTGCTCTCTGTGGTGCATTTGAGGTAACTGGGAAGTTTCTGAATCAATAAGAGCCAGTGGCATGAGTACAGGTGGATATAAAAGAACGCGTTTCCGGTCGGATCAGAAGCGCTGCCCCAGGTGCTGCACCTTGCCTGGAATTACACCTGCCCAATGAGAAAGACACGCCCCTCTTTACGGGCATGCAGGTGTGATGGGTGGAGGGGGGAGGGGGGTGAGGGAAAGAATGGTTTGGCAGGTAAGAAAAAGGAACGTCCAAAGCTCAGAAAAGAGTGCTGCGTTCAGATCGCAAATCATCTCATCAGGAAATACTGATCACAATTTTGATCTTAAAGAGAATCATTAGAAACAAAGGACAATTTAACAAATAAACTTATTTCTTTTGACGCTTTCTACAAATGTCGGCTTCGAGCTGAATGCAGCAGCTGACCTTTGACCTTTGGCACCAACAGGAAGAAGCAGAGGAAGTCACGGTGCAATGATAGACAGTTGGAATTCACAGATTTCACATGGTACCTTCAGTGTTTACTTTTTGTTTTGTAAACAATTTTTCACATAGTTTGTTTTATTATAATCTGTATACAGAGTTCCAAAAGTGCCACAAAATAGAGGAAATCAAATGATGAAATACAAAGAAACTAAATTAAATTATTAAAAAAAGAAAGTATTTTGGTATTTATTTATTTTGTAGAATTTTAAACATAAAATACATTGTTATTAAAGGTACTCATTGCAAAGGTACGCATTGCAAAGTCATACAAGTCAGTAAATCTGGTAATTTCCTTCAAATGGCACCTTTTCCTCAGGATAGTTTGAAGAAAGTACCTTTAATTCTGAACTTTAATTCTGAAATGTGATTTATTTATATAATTAAATGAACCAAATTAGTTAATGTTTATTTCATAAATGCAAAATTAAACATGATTATTTTGACACATTTGTATCTCCATATTTATCGCTACATTTCTTCATTCTATTTTTTAAAAATAAATATACTTTTGTGTCACTCCTATTCTTGAATCTATTATTTTAAAGTTTTAAGGTAATTTAAGTAAGATAAATTTCTATTTGATTGATTTCTTTGAGAGAACAGCAGACAAACAACGTGTTGATTCACAGCCTTAGAAAGTTTAAACTTTAGACTTAAACGAGCACCTTACTGCAGGAAACACAGTGTAGTTTTTTTTAACAAGCACCTGAACATGACATGCTGCTTTCAAGTGATGTCAGTTTTTCTCTGAGTTGTAGGAACTTGTTCAAGAAGTTTATGGATGAAAACTGGAACGTTTGGGTGAAAGATGGTCAAAGAGAAACCAGCCTTTCAGAGTATGGAGAAACAAGACTGACAAAAACAAAAAAATTAAACAAATCTGTAAAATTATGAGAAACCTAATTTATTTTTCAAACTGTGTATTTTTGTATATTCTGTATCTGCTTTATAAAATTCTAGTTTAAMTTAATCAATTGAATTATTTTATTTAATTCAACATTAGGCATTATTTTACTTGGATTTTGGCTCAAGATGAGACACTGACATCGCCATTTGTAAACAAAAGCAGGAAAATAAATTAAATTTAAATTATATTAAAAATTGACATGAAAATAAAGACTAATTATTACAGTTTTTGTGCAAAAAATTAAAATACTAATATATTTGTGGCACAATACARGTACAACTAGRAATARTTTTATTTATAAATCTCATGAAAAGGCAGCTTTAATAAACAAATCAAATGTAGATAAACACTTAGAGAAAAAAAATTTAATAACTGTTAATAAACAGTTAAATTAAGAAAATAAAGCTGCAATCTAAATGTGCAAAATTTATTTTAGGAAGAATCTGCAGATTATTAAAAGGAACGAAGACCAAAACATATTTTATCGCTTCATGGTGTCTGATGATTTTCAGTTTGTCTAAAAAAATAAGTTTATATATTTAGACGAACCTATGTTTTAACATGTTGATCTTTTTTATGTGATTTTATTTGAACCCTAAGAAAAATATAAACTAAACACAAACTCGTATCCTCAAGCTTCTGCAACCACCTTACAGCTCTCATTTCTTTGTTACACAAAGTAAAACAGTTTTAAAGAGTGGCTGTTTGWATGGAAAATAGATAAAACAAATGAGCTCAGGATGGTGACTTTTGCACCAGATGACAATAAGTTAATTGTGTAGTGCAGCTTTTGAGAGGTAACTTGAAAGAAACGGGGGAAAAAAACGCCACTTGAATGCAGTTTATTATTTTTTTTATCATTCCGTCGAGTTTAAATAAAACTTAAATCCTCTCGTWGATCCACCTGGAAGAATTTCATGGCTTTCGCTGAAGGTTTTTAGTGTCTCTGTGTGGAATGGAAAGCGGTAAACGTGGAGATGGATTTTAACGTATAAATATACAAAAAAAAAAAGATCTTTGTATTTATTTTCTTTTTAATTTCTTGGCAAAAATCGAACAGTTTACTGCACTGCTCTGGAAGGAAACATGGTGATACCACAGTTAGTTTTTTTAAGTTAATATATCAGTTAGAGGATGCTGAAGCAAAGCAGGAATGACGGTTAAGAGTATAAAATGAAGGAGGAGGAAGGAGAAAAGGGAGAAAAGGGCTGGAGGAAGTAAGGAGGGGCAAGTCTATTTCTTTAGAAGCTACCAGGGAAAAAACTCACAAAGCAAATGAACAGGAGAGAAGAAGGGCATGAACTCTACAAAGATGGGAATATTCAACCAGAACCATGATAATAATAATAGAATATTAATTAAGCATATTAATTATTATAAGGATAATAATATTACAGAATAAATCTCTTTTTATAATTATTTTTTTCTTTAAAAGTTATACTTTCTTTGTTTGAAATACTAGAATCTTTTTAAATTATTATTTTTTTAAATGTATCTATTGTGATCAAGATGTTGACTATACCTCAACGTTATCCAAATCAATAAAAACTAGCTGTGCCGTTGCATATTACAGAATAGTCAATGATATGTGGACATGCACCGTGAACCACCCATTCCAACCCGCGCTATACGACGCCGTCCCGCCGTCCCGCTCTGATGACATCATAGCCGTCCGATGACCATGACGTCGACCACCTCGCCCTTGTGCAGCTCCACGTACTGCTCCGTCTTCGGGGGCAACATGAGCAGGCCGTTGGCGCTACGCATCGACATGAGCCGGCTGGACACCTGGTTTCCTGAAGAAATGAAACCAGAGGTTGCAGTCGTTTCCTAAACGAGGTCCTGCACATCATGCACGATGTTGGGGTTCTGAGGATGAATATTAGCTACGACCATGTCAAATCTTACTTCAGTATCAGTAAATTTAACTACTATTTTTGTATTTGTACAGGTTTATCAGCTGCAGCATCCATCTTGAACTAACTCCAGAAGTTAAAAAACTGTAGACGTTCATTCACTGATTCCTTTGATTTTCATGAAAATCTCTCCAGTGGTTCATCAGACATTTTGCTAACACAGACACAGTCTTAACACCAGGAGTTGCTGCCAATGCATTTTTTGCACTGTGACTGCCATCTTAAATCTAGTTAACAGTGGTGGGCACAGCTAACCAAAATGTTAGCTTCACTAARCACTAATCCGCTAAACAAGAATCTTAGCGCCGCTAACGCTAAACAGATTTTTTTTAATGGGGAAGCTAATGCTAACCGCTAAGAAGTTGGGTGGGATCATATTTGACAAATCCGTCAATCCAAACCAGAGTTATAGCTCTGTCTAACTTCTGTTACTTACAGTTTAAACCTTTCAGAATAAAAGCATTTCTTTGTTTGAATTTGTATTTTTATAAATACTGTTTGAAGTTAGTTGAACAACAAATAGTAAATACTTTGTCTACTATATTTTAGACATAGTTTATTTTTGTATTTGTTATTTAAATACTGTTAAATGTTTTTTTTAACACTCTTAGTTTGAAGCTTAGCGACTAAAGACGTTACATGCTACGTGGCGCCTGACACGTCCAGCACTGCTTGGGAGAGTTTATATTTAAATCGAGATAAACTTAAACAATTTTACTCTTATGAATTTTTAGAGGACTTAAAATTTGCAGGAGTTAAATCAGTCCGCTAACTAAATCTACAAAGAAAAGTTTGTCCCCTAATTAAGAAGCTAGTATCACTCTTTGATGATTAATGACCACATATTCATACAGATTAGACATATTGTCATTTTATCCAGTACCTAACGGCGCCATGACACACGTACGCTCACCTGTGCTTTGCGCCCAGGGCAGGGGCTCCTGATGATGCCAGGTGAGAATGCAGCGATGGTACTCCGGTCTGGGATCCAGCTTCACGTCACAAGAGAGCTGCAACAAAAAAAATCATCAAAATTATGCTTTTATTTGAAATACAGTTGTAATAWCTGTTGAATAAACTCTTCAAACTATCAACTTTTTGCCAATAAAATAAGAATTAAAGTAAATGCTGCAACAAGTACAACTAAATGGTGAATTTATAAAATAAAATAAATGTTTTATGACATGAAATGTAAAAGAAGACTTTTATTTTACATTATAATTAACAGTGTTGCATTTCTTAACAATTCCTTCCCAGATGTACTTAAACTTTCTTCTTTGTTCATAAGAAGTGGATGAGTTTCATATTTTTGTGACATTACATAAGAAAAGCTTTTGTCTGCTTTTTTCCAGTGACTCTTTTCATAATCATAAACACACCGTCTGAATATAAAAATGACAATTTCTTATGCAAACTGAAAAAACAAAAAAATAAAAATAATAAAAAAGGATCATAGATAATAATAAACTCTTACTCGAGCTTTAATAATTGTTGGCCTGGGGTCCAGAATGCCCTGCATCTTCCTCAGAGCAGGAATCACGAACAGGTTACACGTCACCACCGCTGACACTGGGTTACCTGAAAACAACGAGACCAAGAGCCACCAGGTCAATAAAAACCAGGCTTCTGATTAAACACAGTGAATGAAACTAAACAGGCAGGATTCAGAGAACTGGACCAGGTACAGCAGAAACTGACGGACTACCTGGCAGGGCAAAGATGAGTTTCCGTGTTCCATCGATGTCGACTGTGGCAAAGGTAGTGGGAAGCCTGAGGAACAGAAACAGGGATCAGTTTTCATCACAGCAATGTGGAAAATTGCTGTAAATTGCTGTAAATTGGCCACATTTGTTGCAGTTTTAAGCAGAAGTGCTGACTGGTGAGTTAAATGTTGTGAACTCACCCTGGCTTCATAAAAACTCGTCCAAAGTGGATCTGAGCGTGAAGGTCGATATCCAGCACCTGTTTCAGGTAGTCCTAACGCACAGAGAGCGAGAACATTCTGTTTAAATAAACCTGCAGGACACAAACACAAAATCAGCCGGACGTTAACGAGGCCGGGAGGTCACCTTCTCCCCCATGGACACGCCCCCTGAGGTGATGATGACATCAGCGCGGCTGATTCCCTCGTGTAGAGCGGAGAGCAGGTCGTCAGGGCTGCAGGCACAAAGCAGACTCAGTTTAGCTTTATTAAACAAACGAGGAAGTTGATGTGCAGCGACTAAAAAAAACAAACAGAAACATCTGACAGAGTCTTTTCCTGCGACTCTGAGGGGGTCGTACTTGTCTCCAACGATGCCCAGGTTGATGGTGGGGTATCCGTGCTCCTGGATGGTGGCCAGAAGAGTGGACCGGTTTGAGTCTCTGATCTTTCCAGGATGGAGATCGTCCTCTGGATTCAACAGCTGAAAAACAAATGCAGAGAATCTAAGGGAGGCCTCGAAACTTCCAAACGCGCTTGCTTCCGTTTCTGCGCTCGTACCTCATTTCCCGTGGACATGACGGCCACCACGGGGAATTTGTGCACGCTGACCTCCGTCACTCCCACTGTGGCCAGCAGGCCGATCTCAGAAGGGCCCATGTGTGTCCCTTTAGCCAGCACACACTCCCCTCGCCGGATGTCGTGACCGATCGGCCTGTAGAGGAAGAGAAAAGGTCCATAAATAAAGAGCTTCAAACAGCTGCTACAGACCTGGGGTCGGATTTATAAAACTTGCGTACGCACAATTTGAGCCCAGAAACTTGCGTACGCCACTTTTTACGCCAAGGTTGTGATTTATAAAATCCAAACATGACGTGAAAATGTGCGGTGCCTCACGCCAGCTCTGACCCATGCGTACGCTCATTTTGGAGATGTGAAACTGTGACACAGATGGTGAAGTGAGGAATTAGAGCCACACTGTGTAATGATCACTGTCAGATATTTAATTTACCTTCCTAATCAGACTTAAATAAAAGTTCCCGTGCGCAACTCCATTCATCTGCTTCCTCCTCAGACGACCCTGACCCACACAGACCCCTCCCCGATAAGAAAAGCAGGACAGCAAAAGCTTTGGATACACGCGCAGCGCGTGTATCCAGTCCGTGTTTGTCACGCGCGCGCGCGGGGGATGCGTGCGTGRGTGTGTGTGTGCATGCATGCGCGCGCGGGGCGGGGGTCTGCCGCGGGTAACAGAGCAGGCAGGAGTGGGAGAGGACGAGGAGAAGAGCGGGGGACTTATTTCTAATTTTACCTGACTTATTTAATTTAATTTTTATTGTTTTTATCGTCCTGCAGGCTCTGATGGGAGATTGAATTGAAGCTGAGGTTTTTTATTTTTTATTTTTTTTTATAAAAATCGTTAGATTACTCTAAAGCAAAATGAGGGAAAATCTGTGTCAATTACAGACATTCTGTTCACGTGAGCAGCTGTCAGTCAGCACCTGTCATCCTCCAGACACACGACGGAGCGTGTCTGAACCAATCACTTTTGTTGGCATTGACCATCTGACTGATTTAAATACATCTTAACATTCATGAGGTACTTTACATTGACTGTTTATGGTTGAATGTGGGCGTGTAGAGGGTAGAACCTGAGGCGGGACCTCGTGCGCAAACTCTGACGTGCGGCTGTGATTTATAAAGGAAAGATGCGCAGAAACGTGCGTACGTATGGTTTTATAAATCTGAATTTTTTTTGGCGTACGCCATTTCCGCCTTTTGGCCGTACGTTCACTTTTAGTATGGTTTCCACGCAATCCTTTATAAATGAGACCCCTGATCCTTACACACAAGCTGACAGAAACAAAAACATTTCTGGACTCAAACAGCTAGTCAACAATTAAAACAGCTAAAATTGAATGACATTAATAAAAGGCTGTCTAAAAGCAGCAAAATGCTAGCTAAAAGTAACAAAATGTTAAGCTAAAAAAAAGCAAAAGACCTGGAAAAAAAAGTTATACACACCAAAAGGCTAGCTAATATGTGAAAGTAGCAGAAGGATAATTAAATGCTAAAAATAACAAACACTAAAAGAAGAAAAGACAAGCAAAAAGTAGAAAACTGCTAATAACAAACTGTATGAAAATTTGGATAAAGTAGCTACATACTAGCTAAAATTATGTAGTATTTAAAAAATACTAAGTATACAAAATACGTTTATGTAAAGACTGGTTAAAATAGTAAAATAGTGAGCTAAAAAAAACAAAGGGCTAGCTAGAAGCTAAAATTAAGGTAAAACGGCTAGTAGCTACACATAACTAAAGACTAGCTGAAGTCTGAAAGCTGAATAAGGTTAGCTAAAAGCTAAAAGTAACAAAATGCAAACTAAAAAAAGACTATCTTCAAGTAGCAAAATGTTAGCTCAAAGTAGGCAAAACGCTGACTAAAAGTAGCAAAAGGCTAGCTACAAGCTAAAAGTGGCATAAGTACACAGACAGAGAAAGTAAGCTGAAGTGGATTTCAAAAGGCAAATTAAAAGAAGACTAGCTAAATGTATCAAAAGGCAAGCTAAAAGCTAAAAGTACCAAAAGACTCAAAGTTAAAAGTAGCAAAAGGCTGGTTACAAGCTAAAAGTAGCATAAGCAGACAGAGAAATTACGCTGAAGTGGATTTCAAAAGGCAAACTAAAAGAAAAAGTTAGCTAAAAGCACCAAAAGACTCAAAGTTAAAAGTAGCAAAAGGCTAGCTAAAAGCTTAATGTACCAAAAGACTCATAGTTTAATGTAGCAAAAGGCTAGCTAAAAGCTAAATGTGCCAAAAGACTCATTGTTTAATGTAGCAAAAGACTAGTTACAAGCTAAAAGTAGCCTAAGCAGACAGACGCAGAGCAAATACAAAACCAGCTGCTGATGAAACCTCCATTCAGGAACATTTGTGAGTTTATTCGACTGATGGTTGATGTCTGAACATATGGATTTCTTTCTTCAGGAAGCTGGTTTACCTGATATCCTGTCCGGGTCGAGCCTGGACCATAATCCTCACCTCCAGCTCCTCTGTTCCCTGTGAAGACCAGGAGACCATCATCACAAACAACACAAAAACAATCAGAGAAAAAAAAAAAAAACGGAGCGATGGTTCGATGTGGGGCTCTTACATCCTCAGACTCCCTCAGCAGCTCCGTATCCTCCACCTGGACCACGGCATCGGCGCCGCAGGGGATCGGAGCACCTGTCGTCACCCTCATCACCTGACCTGGCATCACGGWGTGGGTGGGCTGCGGAACAGGCAATGCCGTCTCAATTATACCACATTTTAGTCCAAAACTTTGTGCATTTACAACATAATGCAACTAAAATATAGACTCTTATACTTTTAATTGCTGCATAAAAACCAGATGAAATTAATTGTGTTAACGGTTGAACTCCGTGTGTTCAGTAATGTTAGTGCTGACCTGCTGTCCAGCCTGAGACTCCCCCACAATGAACCGATCTCCCGGGCCGTCAGCAGCTACAGGTCGGTGATAACGAGGGCGGTGAATTATGGAAATTAGATCATGGTTATTGATCCTAACGTTCAGTTAAAACAAACACATGATGCTGATGTTCAAATGGGTTTTGACGTTCCGATCACCTGACCGATCCACTCACCTCGAACAGCGTAGCCGTCCTTAACGGAGGCGGGAAACGGAGGAAGGTTGTCTTTGGCATAGATGTCCTGAGCGAGCACCCGACCCAACCCGTCTGCGGCGAACAGAACTGATTAAATCAGAATTTATTGAAATGATCCGGGTTTAACTGGACGGTATGACATTTCTCTGTTAAAGGGTTCATTTAGAGCTCAAATAAGAAACTATCCAGAGACTGAGGTCAACAAAAAGGAGCAGAACCCGTCTCTCTGAAAACTCACCTCTGTAGTTAATGACTTCAATTCCCAGAATAGGCGTCATCTCCAGAACAGTGATGAAAGCTTTGTCCATAGATGTCAGCGGGAAGGGTGACATGCGGTGACGACGCGCCACCTTCCTGATGTCGACGGCGCTGTGGCCTAAAAAACAAAAACACAGGYACAATCACTGAAGGGTTTGAGGAAACGCTCAAAACTGAAAAACGATCTGGAGCCTCCACAGAACTCACTGGCTCTCAGGATGTTCTCGTTGCTGCCGCAGCGTGACTGAACCTGCAGAGAAACACATTTTCTGTCTTTATTTAATGAAAAACGTCTCAGATTCCTTACAGGAAAACCTTCACGTTGTGGCCGAGAACGTAAAACAAACGGACATTTAAAGCGTCTGTGACACGCATTTCTATGAAATACAAAAAGTCAAAGAAAATATATTTATATTTAGGAAACTCTGCATAATACATGATTTTATCCATTATGTCACATAATTGGCACATTTTCTTTTGAACTTTGCTTGGCTGAAATGAAACAGGAAGTGACATCAAAGGGGAACTCTTTAAAAAAGGGGAACTCCCTAGTTTTTGTTTATTTAAACAYTATTATTTGAACTATGACTCTCTCATCTCTCGATGATAGTGATTAAAATAATCTAAAGAAACAAATTCTTCTCTACAGTCTCTATTGCCTGCCTTTGTAGCAATGCTCTGTTTACATTCAGACATTCCCCTTTGACATCACTTCCTGTTARTTCACATGCAAATATCTCAACAACTGCTCATCTCAGCAGCGTGAAATCTTTTTTTAAATATGTTATCAATGTTATCGTTCCAAAAATACATTCARGTTTATTACAAAAATTTGATGTCARAGGCACTTTAAGTTTGTTCACGTTTAATACTTTTTTATGTTTGCTGTATTATTAAATTAGGTATATTTTTTTGGCAGTGTTAGATTGATCTGTTGGATTAAAAATGGTTTGTTAAGAGTTTCCAGAAGTAAAAACGTCCTCAGAACTATATGGACTTAAAAAACTAAAAACATGGATACCAACTTTAGGACATAAAAAAAGCAGCTGAATCGATCCAAAAAATTGTCCCTCCCCCACAATAAAAAAAAAAAAATCTATTCCATCTATTCAGACAATTCCAGCAACATTTGAGTTTCTTCGCTTATTTTGATCACCTGACACGAATTATTTGGGACAGTTTCACATGTGAATGTACCACAACTGATAATAATTTATATATAAAATATTTCTGCGTTGTGAAATCTCACAGTCCCATTCATTCCCATTCAATTCCCAAACAGCACACAAGTCCCGTGACTTTTAATTTGGTAAAAACTTCAGGTTTTATCTTATCTCAGCATCCACATTTCTGTCTTTATTTATAAATTTTTGAAAGCCAAAATGAAGGAGAAAAAATGGGAAACCAGCAGTTTTTGCTTGGGACGAATTGATTTTTAAAATTTAGAGAACCCTCCTCTTCTTCACTGGGAACTAAAACTATAAAAAATACAGTGGAAGAAGAAGATAATTTAAGAAACTGAGCAGAAACTCTAATCATGCAGGAATTGTCTTTGATAGTTTAGTGGAACGTAAATCTGTTTTTCAAGCTCCAACAGAGCAACACAGGTTTGACTTTCATGCAGTGTCACATGTTTCGATGTTTGGTTGTGTGTCTGTGCYTGCAGGTTTGTGTGTACCTTAGGTGTCGGGCATGAGGCGGTGGAAAGGCGGGACGTTGCCTGTGTTGCCCGCGGTGACTCGGAGGGGGTGGAGCTTAAAGAGGCAGAATCTCGAGGAAGCACCTGAACGCCTCGAGAAATGATCGAGTCCGGGATCTGCGCGCACACACACACATACACACAAACACACACATTTACTGCGAGTCGAACAACTTCACCTTCAAACTAGCTTCACTTCTTCACGTTTCGTTTCKTAATCTCCGTTTTCTACCACTTTCCTGTAAAAGGGTCAAAGACMAAACAAGTCTGGGTGAAAAACCCAGACCTCCTCCTCCTCAGCGACACCCTCCAGCTCCTCCTGGGGGGATCCTGAGGTGTTCCCAGACCTGGGTCTGCAGTGGGGTCTCCTCTCAATGAGACTAACCAATCATAAACATGTTTATCAAATCAGACGAACCACCTCAACGCAGACCTTTCAGCAGCAGCTCTACTCTGAGCTCGTCTAACAATAAACTATGAATAAAAACAGACACATCCTGACACCGATCACAAGCTTTATTCACCAATTAACCCCGACATCAGTGTGTGGCACATTCACAAAGTCTGGGTTTCAAAATAAAAGCTAAAAATCGCAGATGATTCCACAATAAAAGGGGGCAGAAACTTGATTCCCTTCTTATACTGGCACTGAAAAATAAACACTAACTTTGGATTTAAATGGGACCAATAAAGACGTTTATATTTCCAGGTGTGAAAGAGAACTTGTGACCTCTGCGGTCACTAAAACCACGTTTTTAAATCTGGTAAAACTTCAAAGTTCTGAGAGGGAAATGAGAATCTTTCAAAGCCAACTGGAAACACGGAGAATCAAAGACAAACCATAAACTAGAGCAGACGTTTTCTAAATGCTGGTCATGTTTTCACAGAGAACAAGGAGGTGACGAGAGCAACATGGATGTAAAAACACTCCTGACCGCTGCCTTTTTCAGGTGAATATTTGATGAACGGGCGGGTCGGGAGGCGAGCCCAGATCTGGGCGGATGAACAGGTGTGAATATCTCACCTGGTGCTCATGAGAACAGGTGAAATGAGCGGGAGGGGTGGGTGTGTTTCCAGGCAGGTAGGGAGTTCCTTTAGCCATGAGCGCAGCATGGCTCGTCTGATGAACACATGAACACACACACACACACATAAACACAGATGGAAACATGAATGACATGAGATGAGGTGACGTTCAGACATTTTTACTGTTGGCACCTAAAAACACGAACAAGGTAAATTTAAAACTTTTTAAGACCTCTTTAATGACACCTGAGATTAAAATTAAGACCGTTTTCACAATAAACACAAATGGGGGAAAAAACTGTCAGTAATAGTTTTACTCAAATGTTTATTTTAACACAAAACAAATAGTTTAGAAAATAACTCGGAATTTTTTTAAAAACATTAATGTTACCAATTATTTTAATATTTGAGATAAATTTCAATCATCCWACTTACAATGTTTTAAAGGGATCCACGATTAGTTGTAACAGTAGACTTTATTTAATAAACATTTATTTTAACTGTAAAATAAAGACTGTAAAAATACTGTAGGTTGTTTAGTTTTTATAATTTTTAAACTAAAAAGTTTAAAAATATATTACACGGACTGAGCCATTTTATTTACACGCAAAGCATTCTGGGTAAATGATGACGTGGATAGGTCCTCGGTGCGAGGCTGCTAGCGAGCTATATCCACCCTGAAGGTTAATCTTGGACAATATCTGATGATCGACTCTTTTAAATGAAACCAGAGAGCGTTGACAGAGAGGAGAAGGTAGAAATGACTCAGCCTGGAACTGAAAATATGGATGGAGGACAACAGAGCTGCTTCATGGAAGAAGAACCTCAGCTTAGCCTGTTAGCCTTCACGCTAGCACCGAGCTAATACATAAGGCAATATAGCATCGGCGCTAAAGCTAAAGCTCGCACCGAGGACCTGTCGTCGTCATCATTTACCCAGAATGCTTTGTATGCAAATAAAATGGCTCCATCCGTGTTAAAATATATTTTTAAATATTTACAAAACTAAACATCCTACAGTATTTTTATAGTCTTTATTTTACAGTTAAAATAAATGTTTTTTAAATAAAGTCTAATGTTACAACTAATCAGGGATCCCTTTAGACCTCTGAAAGGTTCATTTGAGGCATTTTAAGGCTAATTAAGGCTTTATTTTTGGATTGATGAATCCAATGCCTTTTATGACTTTTTAAGGAAAAAGAGTTTACACGGCAAGATAATTGTGCCGATTTTTCCCTTCAGACAATCTTAAGGAAGCTCAGATTATCGTGACGGCTCTAAAGATAATCTCATGAGATATTCCTGTTGTGTGTGTCATGTTAAGAGTGATCTGGTCGGCTCAGAAGGACGTCGGGACCACTCCGACCTRAAATCAGGGATATTCACCATGTTGGATTGTCTTGGCCCGACATCCCAGAGAGTGTGGTCTGGCTGTAACACCACACACTGCAGGACCAAACCTATTTAATCTACGAGCTTTTATCGATGCGTCTCTCTCAGGTTTTGAAAATCAAACGATTTTAAAATTTTGCCYTGTGAACCAGACATCATCTGCAACAAAATCTGAGTTAAAAAGCAGCAAAGAACGTTATGAAAAACAGCTTTAGAAAACCTGTATCACCAACACGTCAGGCAAATTGGAAGGAAATTATAAAGAAAGGGTCTGGGTTAGATTTTTTGGACAATACGGTCAGTATTTTAACATCTTTAATAACTTTCCTAACAAGAATGAATGTGTGGTCGAATGAAGCGCATGCATGAGAAACAGGAAGTGGGCGGGGTTTGGCTGGGTCGTCTTACACCTGGAATGTTTTGACGTGTCCTAAAACAGTCCGAGCGGCTACCTTGGCGGCGATGGCAGCCGCGGTGATGTGGGAGGAGCCGTGCTGGTGGTGGTGGTGGTGGTGGTGGTTGTGCCGCCCCCTCCTCCTGTCCTCCTCTTCCTCGTCCTCTTCCTCGCACTGGGTGCCACGCTCCATGGTGTGCGTGTTGGCGTTGGTGTTGGCGTGCATGTTGGTCAGCAGCGCGGACGGCGAGGGCAGCTGCTCCAGGGCGGCGTGTGTGGACTTGATCCGGACGGAGGCCTCGCGCAGCAGGTCGATGGCGTGCGGCAGAGCCGGCAGGATGAACTGGAAACACTCCTGCGGGGAAACGRCGACGTCAGCAGCGGTTTTAACCGTTTTAACGGAGCACTAAACATTTCTGCTCCTCGGCTCTGCTCTGTTTGGTTTCAACCTTCTAAACTTTCATTCTAATTGGGTTTAAAGAATTTATAATTAAATATACGACAGCTGTACCTGTGAGCCTTTCTTGCTGCCCGGAAGGTTGATGATCAGAGTTTTACCACGAATACCACAAACAGGTCTGAGGGGGGAAAATAAAAAAATTAGTGCAAGAGGAGACACATGTGGATTTGGTGAAAAACAGCAGTTTTCACCTGGACAGCATGCCAAGAGGCGTAACGTTGAGTGATCCCATCAGCATGGCCAGAGCCATCCCTGGGGCCTCTCGCTCGATCACCTCTCTGGTGGCCTGTGACACGACCAAAAGCTGTTAATTTGTTTTAGAACCGACCAGATATCAGATTCATCTGTTTGTTAAGGACTAGAGCTGCGCCATGTATTGTTTGAGCATCACAATGTAGAGTAGTCACARGGCAGGTCAGTGGTCTTCAACTGTTTTAGCTTCCGGACCACAAAATAACAGCTGCAGAGACTTTTGGARCCCAGTTCTTACTGGTTTGCGTGTCCAAACTTAGTTAATAACTCTGCTAAACACGGGCATTAAAGGGGCAATATCATGTAAAATCAACTTTTTTGAGTTTTATATCACGTTATAATGTTATACTCTCATCAAAAACATGCCCAAAGCCTTGTTTCGACTCTTTCGTGCATATTTGAGAAATCCTGCAGCGTTTTTAGGAAGCCATGCTGAGGAGCAAAACGACAGGTGGGGACCAGGAACGCCCCTGCGACGTGTCTTTACGCCGAACTTACTCATGGCAGAGTGCCCCCCCCCTCCTCCCCACACACCTCGCCCATGACTCCTGCAGGCTCTCGGGTGAAAGTGAAAGTGAAACCTAACTGTCTGCTGAGCTCTCAACATTCGTTCTCAATGAAGCTCTTTTCAGATTAAAAAAAACCTTTGAGGAAATGTATTCTCAGATGCCAAGGAAACTGCATTATTAATGCTTTTTATTTGTTTATTTGTAACATTTTTTTTCTATTAAAACTGAATTGTGAGAAGATGTGGCTTAAAATAACAACTGAAGTGATGAAATAAAACGTATCACCATGATAACGTGGCAGAGCGTGGTCACCCGTAGACCGGACCGTCTCATTTCACAGCTGTTTATGCAGCCGACACCAGCGGCCTACGGCCCACATACTGTGACCAGCGTGGGCCCGCAACCCATGAATTGAGACACAGCCACTGTTGTTCAAATGATGAACAGATGCTGTTTTTGTTTCTAAGTTTTGAGTCTGTAAATCGACTGTGTTATTATTTGAATTTATTTTAAAAAAGGGGGCAGATGTTATAAGATTTTGTTCTTCCCTCTGCCTCCTTTCATTTCATATATAAATTGTTTTGTTTTTTATTGCATGTAGAGTTTTTGTTTGTTTTAATTAGGGTAGGGCCGCACGATATTTGTTAATATTGCGATGACGATATCAGGTGCGACATGTCTTTTTATTTATTTTTTTCCATTACTAATCTGTACTTAGAATTTTTGGCATTTGTGTCTGGTGTGAGCTTTTGCTGCCGAGACTCCATCCTACTGGAAAATGGAACCTCAAAACTCTTTAAATACATTAGTCAATTATTTTACACCAAGCAGTCATTTGCGATATGAATACTGCAATGACGATATATTTGCAGCATATTGTGCAGCCCTAGTTTTAATGTAGTAATAAAGTAATAAATAGTCATAAATGTAATAAAGATTTAATAAAAATAATAAGTCCTTGCACTAAATGGCGGTTTGTTACAGCTTTTATTTTGACAGGTTGCTTCCAAAAGCGAGTGGCTTTGTGTAAAAAAAAAAAAAGCTAAAATTTTCATTTTGTTGCGAGACTTCTGGGACAATAATGGCAATTTACATACGAGTGTTGACGGTGGATTCTCGAGCTGTGGAYGAAGATGGCAGCAGTATTTAAAATGGTATTTAAGTCATCTGTTGTAAATTCATATTTATATTTTCATCACGGGGTTACAAAAAAATTCACAATGTCATTTTTTTACCAATGTTGTGCCGCCTTACTAATTGAGGCAAAGCAGTGGAATGTAGTCAAATTACTTTATAATTTGTGTCAAGAAGATACCTGGTGCCTGGAAGGACCAACGCTCTGAACTTTGATTATATCATGTTCAGTAGGATCTGATCAAAACTCCAGGTTCATTCATCAGAGAGTCACTGAAGTATCTAAGTACCTGCAAGTCACTAAAATATTTTACAGCGAGTAGGGCTGGGTAAAAAAAAATCGATTTCATTGATCTTGAATCAATTTCATTTAAATTTGGGAAAATTGATTCACAGGGCATGAGATGGATTCTTCCCCATGGCGTCTTGTGCGCGTCTGAGGTGCGTTTCTGTATTTTGTTACTCCTGGTTTGCCGTATATTGTCATTCAGTGAACGTTCTGTGCTAATGTTAGCTTTTGATAAGTTGTCTGGAGCAAAACTAAAGATACTAAAGAATCACTCAACATTATCAGCCGATTCTCAGCATAACTTAAAGACAACAGAGACTGCGGTGACTTTTGTTTGCAAAGATGAGGCGGTCGAACCAAACTACTGGATGTAAACATCTGACTGAAACTGTTCTCCACCGGCATGTTTAAACGTGTGAAAGACCACGTTCTAACAAAATGGTTTAGTTTTGTTACCAATATAATTATTTTTAAACTTTAAGAAACACCTTAATGAAATCCACAGTGATGAAATGTTGTAGTTGTATGATTTGTTTTAATAAGGTATAGGTAC